CTGCTTCTCTATATCAGAATTATACTGAAATGAACTTGGAATAATGTTTTGAAATGGTAAAGTGGTGAAAGGTATAGAATAACCTCTCATGTATTGGATGATTGTAGTATCATCAGTGATTTTTTCCCAACATTGGATAAAATGTGACAATCTGCCACCATGACATACCATTACTTCCGAGCAGGAGGTTTCATTTCTTGTTTGGATTTCCTTGTTGTATAATGCTGCTGTTTGTATGGAAGGTTTCGTTGCATCAGGCGTTTTGGCCCACCTCGATTGAAGGGTTTTGGTGCTGCATATTGAGGCAGGCCCCGGAAATTTCCCGAAGTGCTAGGATTTAATGTTCTTCTGTTTGAGGGCTTGAAATTGTCAGATTTTTTAATTGTTTGTCCAGTTTTTTGTGCGGTTTTCAAGGCGTTTATTTTTTCTGATAAATTCTCTCCATAGAGATATTCATCTCTATCTATATCTTTTATAATTTCTAAAAACTTTTTGTCCAAGGAAGTTGAGATTATTTTCTTCTTACTAAATGTCAGGTGACAATGTAAGTCTGTTAATATTTTTGAGGCATCACTTAATATTTTTATTACATTTAGACTATCACCTGTGTCGGTAATTGTCAAGGATAGTGCCTTGTTCAAAGCTGATATCCCCTGACCTAACTGTTGTTGATCAGCCTCTATTTTCTTATCTCGTCTTTTTCCAGTATCAGAAATTGTGGCCATGATTTCTGGATTGAGCTTAGGAGCTTGCAAAGTTTTGCAATTATCAGGTATTAAATACTGCTTCAGTAATGACTCTTTTACTTCTTTATCTAACCCATTTTTCGCTATTTTATTCCATCGTTTTGCTAACTAATTATTGATATATTCACCGAATAGAGGCTTTTCCTCCATTGCATCACTTTTTAAAGTTGGTTCACCTGTGCACTGTTCAGTGGACCCCCCGGTTGGTTTATCTGAGTATCTCTGTGAAGTTGTTGTTGTATAACGTTTGGGTCCATATTTTCTATATCTGAGGGCAGATTAGTCCCTTGTGAACATATAGATACAGCATCTATTAAAGATTCTGTATAATTGTTTTCCTCAGATTGATTTGAAAGGCGTGAATAAATTTAGAAAAGCCACTTTTTTAAATTTACCAGTTTTAATAAAACTTGTATATTATGTTTTTAGTAAACATTGCCTTCGCAACATCTCACGGATGCTTCCCAGGCTTAATTTGACTTGCATGTTCAAGTTTTTATTGTGATACCCTTCGTAACATCTCTCGGATGCTCCCTAGGGTTTATACAGCATGTATGTTCCAGTTTTAGAACAGACACCTTTCATAGTAACTATACTAAGTATAATCGCCTTGCTTAACGCAACTTCTATATTCAAGTTTTAGTGCAAATAGCCTTTGTAATGTCTCACGGACATTCCCTAGGCATGACACAACTTGCATGTTTTTAGTACTGACGACCTTTGTAATATCTCAACGATATTTTCTAGGGATGACGCAACTTGCATGTTCAAGTTTTTGTACCCGTAACCTTTGTAATGTATATTGGGATATTGCATATCTGTAATTATTCACTATATAAAACTTACCTGTCTGTTTATATTGGATAGATTCTTCTGAATCCGAGACGCAATATGATGATTTACGTCGTCGAGCTTTATTACGTTTCTCTTCAAGACGTCGTATTTTATTTTTGTATTTCTGTATTTTGTCTTCATTTTTCCGTTTTGCCATGCTAAAAACACTCAATGTTATATGTTTTCAATTAAAAAATACTGAGAATTAAAGAACAATTAAAAATTATGACGCAATAGTTGCCACGCAAAGTAAAGAATGACAAGTATCAATCTATTGTCTATAGAGTATGACAAGTGTTGACAGTGAAACGTTTAATTTTCTTTTTTTTTTAGGCTTTAGAATCTAGCTCTAAAATTGCGTTATGTTGCCTAGTGATTTGAAGAAACTACATGGTAAATATATATATCGAGAACGAAGCACTGGAATATAATTACATATTAACCTCCATAAAGGTTAAGAAACAAAGTTGGCACCCATTCACTATAAACGACGTGCCTTATCATTCGACCCAAATGAATAAATACAAAGCCGAGATCCAGTTTCACACATTGAAATACCAAGATGTCACACGTCCCGATAAAATTATGTAAATTCAACACAATGCCCGCGCAAAATGACACGAGGGCGACACGTTAAGGAGATGAAAATTAACATGGCGGATTAGTAGCGGTTCGAGGGATCGCGTCGTGACCGAAATTGGTAATAAACTGGATTACACCGGTACAGACGGGATCGGACAAGATGGCTGACAGTTTTTGGCGCGTACGTAATCATATTTTGACGTCCCGATGACAATTGCAATAGTGGGATTAGCTAGGAGATTGGAGAGATGTTTTTCGTGGTAGATTTGTTAAGCCTTTAGAATAATTTTCTACTAAATTTTAAAGGAATTAAGCTATGTTGTTTTCTGGACGTAGTCCTGTTAAATATACGATAGATATAAAGTGACAAAACTAGGTAGAATATGTAGTTTTTCGTGGTAGATTTGTTAACCCTTTAGAATAACTTTCTACTAAATTTTAAAGGAATTAAGCTAAGTTGTTTTCTGGACGTAGTCCTGTTAAATATACGATAGATATCTGTCCCCAAGTATCGTTTAGAAAAAGTCAATAGGTCTTTTATGGGAATAGGTATAAAATTTATAATAAGATATCAAAGGATATATGGGAATTACCGTTAAATAAATTCAAAACATCTGTTAAATCATATTTACCGAGCAAGGCCTATTACTCACTAAACGATTACTTGAATGACGAGCGTGCATGGCAATAGTTTTCATGTTCGGGATTTTCATTTAATGTTAGAAATAGACACCTATATAAATTGTAAATAAACTGGATTAAAAAAAAAGCAATTCAATTAAGTTTCTTGACAGTTCTTCTCAGTTGGATCTATATACCGAACTGGACGGTAGGGAAAAAAATTATAATGTAAGAACTTGACGTTCATAAGCGGCTAAAATGTCCTACATGAATAAATGATTTTTGAATTTGAATTTGATATAAAGTGACAAAACTGGATAGAATATGTAATATTAACTATTATAGAGTGACAATCGAAAAGTACGGTCTGTTTATCAAGACATTTAGTTGGGACAGAGCCAAAGTTGTCTAAACCTACTCACCACCTCAATATATCGTATTACAAAATATATTGTATCACAAGTATAATTAAAACACCATATAAAATAAGACATTTTTTTTTTATTGGATTGTTTGGGCTATTGTCAGATGTGTAGCACCTGTAGCACTGCGACCTACATAGATCTATTGTGCTCGCCCTTTTCAGAGTTCGCTACCTAGACCCGTCAGGGACAAGAATTGAAGGATATTCTTAGGAGCGATCGTTTTTATCTCCTCGGAAAAGAGTGTAAACTTTTCAAAGGAGATATTTCGTTTATGCAGTGGGCTACAACCACATAAGATGTGAAGCGGCGTTTCCTCTTCAGTTTGGCAGAATCTGCAGATACTTGTCGTGCATAGGCCTAGTTTAGCCATATGCTTGTTTAATTTGCAGAGTCCTGTGAGGGCCCTAGTCATCATGCATATGTTGTTTTTACTCAATAGCAGTAATCTATTGGAGTATTTGGTCGAGAAGCCCGATATTAGGTCTTTTGAATGTGTTAATCCTGGCGTTTCTTGCCAGTGATTCAGTGCTTCTCGTTTGGTTATTAATTTGAGATGTCCCAGTTTTAGGCAACGAGGCAAAATAAGACATACATAAATATATAATTTCTTATTGAATGAACATATATTTGAAAACACTTTATGTAGTATTTCAACTGTGCTATGTAGATATAGTCTAGAAAAATGGACAAGAAATTCTTTTAATGTGTGTTTTTAGAAGTTTAATGTTTTATATGACTACTATCGAATAGTACAAGGTTATATAGAGGCATTACATCTTAGTCCTCTGTGTGGCAATACATGAATGGATTCACGGATGTAACATGATAGCGTGATAGCAGTACATAAGTTACAGTACAATTACACGCATAGGTTCTCAGACTTTAACTTAGATTACAATTACAAAAACTGAACCCATGCTGGTTCAGTTATTGCGACTTCAAAATTCCAAATACTGAACCAGCACAGGTTCAGTTTTTAGAATAGAATATAAAATCCTTTATTCAAATAAACCTAATTAGCACTTTTGAATAGTCATAACATTTTCATTTAATCTACCGCTCATTCGGAAAGCTGTCTCATGACAAGAAGAACGAGTAAGAAACTTGTGTGCTGCTCTTTTGAATAATCCTTGTATGTTTACATTTACCACCAACTAGCACTAATTTATTAGGGTCTAATATAAATACACAATAAGATTAATTCAGTCGTATTGATAAGACCAGTCCCTACAAGCAGCACTCGTTCACGAATATGATGGATTTTGTAATTGTAATCTAAGTCAGAGTAAACGTCATAATGCTCCCAAGTATTACAATGTCTATACAACTCCAATAGCATTACAAACCAAATACTATACTTATAAAACCAAATACAATACTGTCTACGCACTCAACGCACCGCTCCGCGGGCTGCGGGGGCGGTGCTGCGCATCGGCAACTGCGGCCGGTGGCGGATACCGGCACTTCTTGTCCGACCGGCATCGACACTTACCGGCTTACAAATAATCCTTCCAATCTAAATTTTATCTGAATCTGTCCGTTGTTCATAACAGTTTTTATATTAAACCTATTAATACAGTCCACTAGTTTCATTGGCTATCCAGGACGTAACATTGGTCCTTTAGGAAATAAACTCGCCATACCTACGAACATCTAGAAGACCGTTATTGAAATCAAGACACGATATTGGTGAACTTTGACCTGGAGGAGCTTAAAACAAATCGGGACTTAGTTGCTGTCTTCGGTGGATTGGAAGTCATTCTGTGGATAAGGATAAGGATATTTCGTGAGTCGTTCCAATTATTCCTTATTAATTCCTTCTATATCCATAAATATTTTTTATAGCACTAGCTTTCATTTCTTATAGCACTAGCTTTCATTTCTTTCAATCATAATCATTTTCATCTTTTATTTAAGTGTTACATGTTTATATTACTCATTTCGCATTAGATTCACATCTTTGTAGTAACTATCGCTTGCATAGTTAAAAGTACCTAGTTGCGCATCGGCGACCGTCCAAAGGTCAGTCGCTGCGAACAAAAGGCGGACCGGACCGTATTTCTTGGAATTTGCATAGAAACTATTTTACTATCGCTTATTGCGCATATTTGTATTTATTTCTTTTCAATTCGCACTGTCGCAATTTGTTACGTATTAATTTAATTTTAAATTTAGTTGATTACTTTCTCTTTCTTGCAATAATGGCTGATGAGTTTAAATTGATTAAAAAACGTAGCAGCTTGAAAGCTAAGCTTACTACTTTTACCAATTATTTGGACATAGTTAGCAGTTGCCAATCATTGTCGGAACTACAGCGCTTAGAGTTACAAAGCCGATTTGCTAAAATTGATGCCTTATACGAGGACTTTGATAATTTGCAGACAGAAATTGAGTCATTAGATACATCGGTGGCTAAGGTCGAGGAGGCCTACGTTGCTCGCCAACAGTTTGAGGACTTGTACCATCCGCTAGTGGCGCGGGCGCGTAGTTTACTGGCCAGCGTTGCGCCTAGCGAACAGATCTTCGAATGTGCAGTTTCAGGCGGCGCAGCATCGATGCAAGGTGGGAATGGTTCTCGTAATTTTGTCAGACTTCCCAAGGTGGCCCTTCCTGAATACCATGGCAGCTATCAGTTTTGGCTTGAGTATAGGGACACCTACATATCCTTAATACATAAAAACACAGACATAGATCCCATAAATAAATTCCACTATTTACGCGCCTCCCTTAAAGGGAGTGCGGCAGAGATAATTAAAAATTTAGATTTCACAAGTGACAACTATCAGGTAGCTTGGGATTTGTTATGCGAACGCTATAACAATAACCGTCTACTTATTAATAATCACGTGCAAGCTTTATTTAATGCCACACCCATACAAAAAGAATCATGTAGTTCGTTACGACAATTAATAGATTTAATAAATAAAAATTTAAGGGCGCTTAAAACATTAAATGAGCCTACTGACAGCTGGGATACATTACTTGTTTATATGATGTCTAACAAATTAGATCCTGTAACTAGCCGTGGCTGGGAAGAATTCAGAAATTCTTTATCCCAATCACCCTCATTGTCCGAGTTTTGTACATTTATAAGCAATAAAGCAGATTTACTTGAAACATTAGAGGAAAAATCAAACTCACAATTAACAAAACAAGAGTATTTTAAACCTAAAAGTTTTATTATAGCTACAAATAAAAATTACAGTAATACAAATACAAACTTAATTATCAAAAAATGTCCTATGTGTTCTCTAGATCATTTGTTATATACCTGTGAAACATTCAGGAATTTGCCTATTGAAACACGTATTAAAAAGGCAAAAGAATTCAAAGTTTGTATGAATTGTTTACGTTCTGGTCACATAGAAAAAAGGTGTAGATTATCTGGTTGCAAATATTGTAAAAGTAAACACAACACGCTTTTACACTTAGACCAGTCAATACCTTTGCCTCAAATTCCTATGCCTTCAACATCTAACAACGTTGCCTTGTCTGCCGATGCTATACAGCCTGCTACTTCTTCGCACATATTACTGTCCACAGCTTTGGTGAGAGTGGTGAGCAACAGCGGCGAGCGGCACGACGCCCGTGTTCTTTTGGACAACGGTAGTACAGCCAACTTCGTCACTCACAGTCTATGTAACAAGCTGAGTATGTCGCGGCGTAGTACGAGCTCCACGGTGACAGGTATCAACAGTCAGACCACTAATAGTACACAGTCTTGTAACCTCGAAATCGAGTCTTATTGCAGTGACTATAAGGTCAATATCAATTGTCTTATTCTGCCTGAAATCACTAAAGTGCTACCATCTTCAGTAGTAGATATTTCTCATATTCCTATCCCCGCAGGGTTACATCTAGCTGACCCTACTTTCAATATTCCGTCAGCCATAGACATCCTTGTGGGGGCTGAAATATTTTGGAACATAATTGGTAGTAGCAATATCGATTTAGGTAAAAATAAACCAAAATTGTACGAAACAAAATTAGGATGGATTGTGTCTGGCCCCGTGGCTCTTTATACCAATTCATTTAGTTCACACTTTTGTCATTTTACGAAAGACATTAGTGACCCTAACCTAGACCGTTTCTGGGAACTCGATTCTGTTTCACCGAAGCATTCGTTGTCATCAGAAGAACGCGCTTGTGAACAGAATTTCATCTTAACTACGACTCGTAACGCAGACGGTCGCTTCGTCGTCACAATGCCACTAAAAGCTGACCCTAAGGTGTTAGGTAATTCATTCGATATGGCCAAAAATCGATTTTTATCGCTAGAAAGGCGCTTTCAGCGAGATCCCTCATATAAGGATAGATATATGCAATTTATGTCCGAGTATGAATCTTTAGGTCATATGACTGAGGATAAAGAATTTAACTATAATTCAAAAAACACCGTGAATTATTTTATACCTCACCATGGTGTCATCCGCGAGTCGAGCACCACTACTAAATTAAGGACTGTATTTGACGCGTCTGCCGTTTCCACTTCTGGAGTGTCATTAAATGATATTCAAATGGTCGGTCCGACCGTCCAAGACGATCTTTTATCTATCCTGATACGTTTTAGGCAACATAAGTACGTAGTTTCAGGAGACATAGAAAAAATGTATCGTGCTATATTAATACATTCCTCGCAGCGTTCCTTACAGCGTATTATATTTCGTAAAAATCCTACGGAACCTCTTAAATATTATACATTAAATACTGTGACGTATGGCACCGCGTCTGCACCATATTTAGCGACAAAATGTTTAGTTAGTTTGGCAGACGGCGCGAGCGATGAGAATGTAAGGATGTCCATACAACGCGATTTCTATGTGGATGACTACCTAAGCGGTAGTCATACTATTCCCGATACCGTAAAGCTTTGCAAAAAGGTAATTTCTATTATGTCTTCTGCACACTTTAATTTACGGAAATGGCAGTCTAACAGCCCTGAGATTTTATCCGAACTCACAGGTAATTCAAATAATTTAATTGATACCTTAGATCTCTCAAATAATAGTCACGCGTCATCTAAAACCCTGGGTTTACACTGGTTGTGTGATACAGATACCCTATCGTTCTCCATTAATATTGATACAAATAAATTAATCACAAAGCGTCACATCCTATCTGTCATCAGTCAAATTTTCGATCCACTGGGCCTTGTTGGTCCCTGTATTGTGGAAGCTAAAATAATACTGCAGAAATTATGGATTAATAAATACGGTTGGGACGATAAGGTATCGCAAGACATTGTAGATCTGTGGTCATCATTTTCTAGCACTCTAAATTATCTTAATAATATGAGAATATCACGATGGATTTCATGTGACAATTCAATTTCATATGAAATTCATGTGTTTACGGACGCATCGACTAAAGCTTATGGCGCAGCTCTATACGTTCGGTCCATAGACAACAAAGGTTCAGTGAATGTGCAATTATTAGTCTCTAAAAACCGCGTAGCACCTATCAAACCCACAACGGTTCCTCGTCTCGAGTTATGTGGTGCGCTATTAGGTACAAGACTGTGTACTAAGGTTCTGGACTCTCTTACTGTACCTATTTCTCGATGTCAATTCTGGTGTGACTCCACGATCGTTTTGGGGTGGCTGTCTACCCCACCGAATCAGCTTAAACATTTTGTCAGAAATCGTGTTAACGAAATACAAGAGGCAACCGCTAAATACTCGTGGAGCTACGTACCGTCGAGAGACAACCCAGCAGATCTTGTGTCCCGTGGGATTAAAGCCAATCTTATTATCGACTCCACTTTATGGTGGTCAGGCCCGTCCTTTCTCTCCAACGACTCTAGTCACTGGCCGAAAATGCCTAACGATAACATAGACCAAGATTTACCGGAAGTTTTATCTCATTTTATTGACAATTCAAATAATTATACACATAAATGTTATTCTATTATACATGACTTAACTATTAAATATTCAAATTTTAACTATTTACAACGAATCGTAGCCTATTTACAAAGATATATATACAATTTAAAAAATAAAAATAACAAAAGATATGGATATTTATCTATTGAAGAACTACAAGCTTCATTAACTTGTATAATTCGTAGTGCTCAACTCGATATGTTTCCTGTAGAGATTGAAATCATTAAGTCAGGACAAACACTGCCACGTAAAAATAAATTAACTTCATTGTCTCCGTTTTTGGATGACAACGACATTATTCGTGTAGGTGGCAGGCTTGACAATTCCCCATATGAATACAACATTAAACATCCCATACTTTTATGTAGTAAACACCATCTCACTAGGGCTCTATTTGACATGTATCACAGGCGTCTTCTGCATGCCGGCCCACAATTGCTTTTAGCAAATATACGGCAAAATTACTGGCCTTTAGGAGGCAGAAACTTGTCTAAAAGTATCGTTAGCAAGTGTATTACATGTTTCAGATATAAAGCACAAAACCTACAGCCTATTATGGGACAGCTGCCTACAGAAAGGACACTACTAGAATTCCCTTTTTATAACACTAGTGTAGATTATGCCGGGCCCATATTGATAGCGAGCCGTAAAGGGAGAGGGTGTCAATTAATAAAATCCTACATCAGCATCTTTGTTTGTCAAGCAGTGAAAGCTGTTCATCTGGAGCTGGTTACAGACCTCACGAAAGAATCATATATGGCAGCTCTAAACCGTTTCGTATCTCGTAGAGGTAAACCGCGCAATATCTTATCTGACAATGGTACCAATTTTGTCGGTACTAGTAATGAGTTGCAAAGATTTTTACATAGTTCAAACGTCGCTTCAGATATGGTTCAAGAAGGTATACAATTTTCCTTTGCTCCGCCATACTCGCCTCATTTCAATGGTCTGGCTGAAGCAGTTGTTCGTTCTATGAAACATCATCTAAAAAGGTTACTTAAACTTACTCATCTTACATATGAGGAAATGTCTACATGTCTCACTCAAATAGAGGCAATACTCAATTCCCGTCCACTTACGCCGCTATCCTCTGATCCTTGTGATTACTCTGCCCTTACTCCTGCTCACCTACTAATTGGACGACCACTTACATCTATTCCGCATCCACAGGTGGCCGACGTCAACATCACTAGATTGGACCGCTATCACAGAATAGAACATATTAAGCAGCACTTCTGGCGTCGTTTTAATATCGAATATGTTTCTATGCTGCAGCAGAAAACAAAGTGGTCCACTTCCTCAGGCAACTTGGTGCTGGGGACTCTGGTCCTTATTAAGGACAAACTGCTGCCACCACTTCTATGGTCGCTGGGTCGTGTCGTCCAGGTCTACCCAGGCAGCGACGGTGTCACGAGGGTCGTCGAGGTGAAAACCAAGAACGGGACTATTCGTCGCGCCTTCAACAACGTGTGCCCACTTCCACTTCATTGAAGACTACTCTTCAACCCGGGCAGTATGTCTACGCACTCAACGCACCGCTCCGCGGGCTGCGGGGGCGGTGCTGCGCATCGGCAACTGCGGCCGGTGGCGGATACCGGCACTTCTTGTCCGACCGGCATCGACACTTACCGGCTTACAAATAATCCTTCCAATCTAAATTTTATCTGAATCTGTCCGTTGTTCATAACAGTTTTTATATTAAACCTATTAATACAGTCCACTAGTTTCATTGGCTATCCAGGACGTAACAATACCGTAAAATACAGAGTGCACAATAAGTTTAACCAAACAGAATCCGAAGTGAATAAATCAAGTCTCAAACGAGTGCAGCTCCGGATCGTGGCGGTAATCCGGGCCGGATAACCGGGGTTGTAGGATTACCAGAATACACCCGTCGGTACACCTGCGCCAACGAGTCGCGAATTATTTCTACTTACGTATTACTATATATGTAAAAATTATAACGTATTTTTTTTTATACTCGTATGTTGGCAAACTAGCTCACGATCCATGTGATGGTAAACGGTTACCATAGCCTATAAACGCATGAAACACCAGGGGTATAAAATGCGCGGTGCCGACCCTTAAGAAACCATAATTCTTAAAACCTCATGCTGTAGTCTCTAGAGAAAACGTCAGCAAGTAGTTCATTCTACAATCTAAGAGTACGGGAGGAAGCTCCTCTGAAACCGCACTGTCCGAGACCACGTCGGTTCCAGCGAGTGGGGATGAATTCCCTGATGATGGCGAGCGGTGTGAAGGTTCTGATATATAAGCTGGCGAGCGATATGATGGTAAAAGGTTCTGATGTATCAGCTATATTACCTATGTGGTTGTAGCCCACTTATGCATAAACGAAATATCTCCTTTGGAAAGTTTACACTCTTTCCTGAGGAGATAAAAACCATCGCTCCTAAGAATATCCTTCAATTCTTGCCTCTGACAGGTCTAGGTAGCGAACTCTGAAAAGGGCAAGCACAATAGATCTATGTAGGTCGCAGTGCTACAGGTCCATGCACCTGACAATAGCCCAAACAACCCAATGAAAAAGCTATATTATTGTAAAATTTCATCATCAAAACCAGTTTTAATTAGCAGTTTCTGCGTGAAAGATTAACAAACATCCAGTCATCTATGCATGCATACAAATATTAGCTTTTACGATATTAGTAAAATTGTTAATGAAAAAACAGACAGATTAATGATAAGCACTGTAATGAATACCAATTTGCATACAAAATGAATACATTCTATTTGGGATGCAACGCAAGAAATGACTGCATCTGTAGCGTGACGTCATCCGGTCACGTTCGACCGGCGTTGCACGTGACGCCATTTATATCCGGATTATACCGGTTCCGACTGGAAGTAACCAGATAAAGCCGGCTATTTCAAGTGCAATATGAAACGGCTTGTCATAAGCATAGCTCTGTTTTAGAATTAGGTGTATTAGTTACATAGAATGTCCTCCTGTGGTTGCTTGACTAATATATAAGATTCTCGTGTCACAGGTTTCGTGTTTATACTCCTCCGTAACGGCTTGACCGATTTTGATGAAATAGGTTTAAAAAAAAATTTTAAATCCCTACAGATTTTGATGAAATTTTATATGTATATTTAGAAGGTCTGAGAATAGGTTTAACTAATTTTTATATCCCTAAGTGTTAAGGGTGGCTCATCCCAAAATTTTTTTTCATTTTACATATAATGTGGCATTCTTCTTCTTCTTCCTCTTTCGTTTCAATGACAACTAAATATATTTGTAGCCTTAAAAAATATATACACCCCTAAATTTTCACACTTCTACGATCAACCTTTATTTTTAATAGCGATTTTAGTTTCTATGGTAAAACAACGTATAGGGTCAGCTAGTAATATAAATAAAATTGTAAATCTATCTATCTGTATATGTAAAGCAGAGTGTACATTAGTTAATTTGTCAAATGAACAAATTGACCGCCACTCCCGGCTGCGGCGCGGCGGTACACCGTAACGACATTATCGCGAGAGTTGCGGCCCCGTCTAATTCGCTCAACTCACCCGCCAGCAGCGCCCGGGGCTTTTGACATTGCAAATTTTTAACACAACTCTACCCTGATGAATGTTGTGGCATTTTTTTTGTGGGTATAACGCATTTGTGTTTACAGAAACAGAAAAAATCGTTAATTTCAAATTTTTCAAATTCAAAATATCGTTTATTCATGTAGGTCTTACAGACTCCTATGATCTGTTAAATCTACGGTAGATTTGAGTTCGGAATGATTTGGAGATGAGAAGAACTGACAAGTTAAATCTACCGTCAGTTCGGAATGATTTCGAAATGTCCAATTATTTTTTAAATAAAAGTTTTAATAATTATTGGATGCTCCACCGATGGAACCATAGTGTCTGAGTCCAATGATTGGCTACTTCGCAGACTGGAGGCATCACACCTTGTAGAATTTATTAAGGAACCAGCCGCAGTCCAAATATTTCCCCATGTTCAAAATCTACCCTGTATCATCGTAAGCACAGATTATTATATTAGAGTCCGATAGTCCGCGGTTTCTGTTCTCCCTTACCTAGTAACAAACGGACTGTACAGCGGCCTTGACGCGCGCGCGCATTGTGTTGTGAATTAAAATAAATTAGAACTGTGTTAACCTACTGTGAAGCTGGAAAGCTAGCGAAGATACCTTCGAGACCCTGAAGCCCAAGAAATCAGCAGAACCATAACTGACGCTTCCCTAACATTTTGGTAGCAGAGTAGTTTCCCAAACACCCCAGCAATATTATACGCAGACTTATCAATAAAATATTATATGAGATAAAAGAAATTACCATAAGTCTCAGATTAATCCGGCCCGTACTGTAATCGGTACATATTAATTTGGCCTTTCCACTTTGATTTATTCACATAATTAAAGGATTCAATTTGTTTCATGATAACTTCAGCTAAATGAAATTAATTATGTATGCTTAATTAAATTAGCTATGATTAATGTAAGCTCAGTGATTTTAATTATCTATAACAAACAGGTACCATAGACAAGATAAAGAATGAATACATCAGAGGAAGTATGAAAGTGGCGCCGGTGTCGGAGAGAATAAAGAGTAATCGTCTATCGTGGTATGGGCATGTAATGCGTAGGAATGAAAATCATATCCTAAGGACGGTGTTACATATGAATGTGGATGGTTATAAGAGTGGAGGAAGACCGAAAAAGAGATGGATGGACTGTGTAAAAGATGATATGGTCTCACCATATCATCTTTTACACAGTCCATCCGTACATTGATAATTTAACAGATACAAGTACATAGATATTTTTTTTTGTTCGTAAATACATACATATTATACATAGAAAACACCCAGACCGATACAAACAATTATACTCATGAATACAAATGTTTGTGCCGTACGAGGAATCGAACCCGCGACCATCGGACGTACAGCGGTGTGCTAGACCGCTAGACCACCGAGGTCGTCATGAGATCGAGAGATGGATGGACTGTGTGAAAGATGATATGGTGAGAAAGGGAGTAAATAACGGGATGACTGCGAACAGGGATTAATGGAAGAGAAAAACATATTACGACGACCACAAAAAAATGGGATAAGGAAGAAGTAGATGATGAATAACTAGTAGGTACCATGTTCGGTTCTCGACCTAGATTGAAAGAAATGGTTCGGTAGTTTAATAGCAATAAAAAAAAGAACATATGTACTTTATTAAATTTACTGGCTTTACTCGCGACTTAGTCCGTGTGGAATAGTGGCCTTGGCCAAATAAAAATATTTATTAATCTTACCCCGAAAATACAAAGAAAAAAGTTTTATCGTTCTATCTTAAAAAATGACGAATTTCCATACAAACTCCTATTTCAACATTATTAACTATTTTAACAATCTCCTATTTTATTTTACTCCCTTAAGGATAACATTTTTACAAACTTTGAATGTCATATTTATCTAGACTATCTGTGTACCAAATTTCTTTTATGGTAGGTTCAATTTTGGAGTCATAGCGTGACAGACAGACAGAGTTAGTTTCGATTTTTTTTTCCACAGACAGCGGTCCGTGCCTTTGTTGATTTTATCTAATTAATAATCCATTAAAATTAATTACAATATTTTAATTTATTAACATTTTATGGTTTACCGCCCTATATATTTATATATAGATATGTATATATATTACAATTAGAATCCGATCCAAAAACTATCAATAAACAAAATTAAAGTAACATTATATATTAATTCGAGTAATCTAATAGTTTCGCATCTATAATATTAGTAATGATTTAAAAAAGACTTACCTTCTCGAAATGCTTAACTTCGGCCAACAATATGAAGTTAATATGAATGAATCTTGCATCTTCACACGACCTAGATTTTACCCTGAACCCAGGCTTCTTATAATAATAACTATAACCCGTATATTCCGAACTTTCTATATTCACTTTTAAAGCACCTTTGAAGTCCCAATCACCTCCACAACCATAACAAAGACCTTTGGTGATGAATCTCTCCCATTCTGAGGCTCCTAGACTTGTGTAGCCTATATTTCTTACGCTGGAACCCGCTAGGTTTGAGTATTTGGGGCCCGCCCCCGCAAGGCCGCTGCGGGGGCGGCCCGGCCATGTCCCAGAGGACTCGTGAGGCCTAAGGCCTGGTGGGCTCTTTCTCAGCTTCCACTCTTCGTGACTCCTCGTATCAACTGTCGGCCTCCATCTCCATTTTGAGATCACTCGTAATTTTCCTGTGGATTTTTTTCACTTAGTCCTCAATTGCATTTGTGTGTTTGTATGTTTGCCGTTTAGTTTTGACGTTCGCATTTGTGACTGTAAATATGTTTTATGTTACGCTGTTTCATTTTTCAAACGCCATTATTAAGAGATGTGTCAATGGATATGTGAACGTAATGCATATCTAAACTAATGTATCAAGCAGTTTGTATATACGCGTAAAACTCAGAAACTACTAGTCCGATTTGTATAAACTTTTTGCTTTTGATAGCACAATTATTTAAGAAAGTTATAGGTTACTAAACATCACGCTATAGCTCTTAGGAGCCGAGCAAGAACAAAATAAGTCGGAACGAAAGCAAGAGATAAGGCACGCACGCGGGGTGGTCCAATTCGATATAGTGGGTAACT